GGATAAAGTGGAAGAACAGAAGCAGGCTGTATTTAATCATGCAAAGTTAAAGGAATGCAGACCAACAAATATTTATAGAAATGTACAGATTTTCTAACCTTTTCTGATATATTCTTGCCCCTTTTCACCTGAGAGACTTCGCAGAAGTTCAGGTCTTTCAGCGGGTAATAATCAGGAGGAGGAATTGATCACATAAGGTCAAGTGTTTCTTTGATGTAGAGCACAGAAATTCCTGCTTCCTTGCAGGCTGGAGGACTCAAACAATGAGACATTTGTTTTTCACAGCTCTTTCATTCATCAGCATGTCTGAAAAGCTTGCTTTGAGCAGATACACAGCATGGGATGACACATCCTGCAGCTGACCCAAGGAGCTGTGTCCCCAGCAGAGCAGGGCACTGTGCAGAGATCCCCTTCCCAAAGCAGCAGAGTTGTCCTTGTGGTGAGACCTGGGCTTCCATGTGCTCATCAAGCTCAAAGCCTCTGTCCTGTGCTCCATCACCAGGCACAGACATGCCCTTCCCATGCCTGCACCAAAGGTCATCCATCCTCGTCAAAGATGCTGCTCCTCAGCTCTAGCTTCTTCTCTTAGTCTTGATGACAAAAGCATGGCTTCAAAAACTAAAGGACAGTATAAAAAAAATCACTGCTGACACCTGGCTTGGCACATTCCTGGTTGTTCTACATGGATGCACTTGTGGAAGGGTTAGACAATCTATAAAGTAAGATAATCACTGCATAAGGTTGGGTTGCTTTATGTTTTTGGGGTTTTTTTTTAATAACTGTTAAAGTAGGGTGTTTCAGCTCAACCTCCAACAGCATCCACTTGGCAGAGACAAAAACCTGAGGATTTCTGTTCTGCTGATCAATACTTACAGCATATATTGATTTCCAATTGAGGTGTTAACATTTTAGCTCTTGGAAGTGCTCTTGATATCAATTTTCACCTTGCCTGGTGTTCATTGCATGCTGAACCTTCTGTCAGTGAGTGAGCTCGGATCCCATCTGGAGGTGTTACGAACAAAACAGCCTGGCTGGGACACTTGGCTGGAACTAAGTACTGACACTGAAATGTTAATTAGCTAATCGCTCCTGGGAATCACCTACCGCCCCACCCTCACTACCATTCTAGGACTGGGATGCAAAATAGAGAGACCAGTGGAATCATGGGAGGGGGTTTTGGGGATGAAAACACCCCTAAATGGAAGGCTGGGCACAGTGGAGGGGGCTGGATGGGTGTGCTGGTTGGGGAAAAGGGAACCACATCCCTGGTCTGTGTCTGACCTGTCACCATAGCCTGCAGGGGACCAGACTGGACTGGGCTGTGGGAAGCAGGAACAAAGGAAAACACACTTCTGGTGTCACCAGGGGGGGAGGGGGGGGGGCGGTCTGCTGGGACTTCAGATACAGACTGGACACCTCTGCACCTCCAGCTACCAGCGTGCCACGGACACTCCAGGGACAGACTCTGCACTCCTTCTCCCCTTTTGGCTACCGGGAAAAAGCTACAACAGCAGGGGCGAGCTCCGTGTCGAGGCCCCTGCCGAGCTGACTTCTTAATAAAGAGCTGAACATTAATAAAGGCATAGACCCTGTTCATTTCAGAGGGACCATTAATTCCAGCCACTTCAAGACTGCGGCGCGCAAAGATTTACTCGCCTTGCGCAAGCATCGTGGTAGCACGAAAAATCTGTGTTTAAAGCAGTGACCCGAGAAATGCTTTCACTCCAGCCTGGCACAGGCTGCCTCTACTTTCTCAGTCTGTGTAGTCATCTCTGAAATCATAGAATAAGCTAATAAATAGTGCTGTTTATTATGTTCGTGCTGTTTCGGCGCAATAATTCATAGCCAAAGAGCCCGGGGTGGCGGGCTCAGCTTGCTGGGTGGCTGGGTTTTGTTTAAGCAATAAGACACACATGATAAGCAGCGTGTCCCTTGGGGATTGTGCCTCCAGTAGTGTTAGGAGGCACAAGGTCAAAAGGCTCAGTGACTTTAACTACCTGAGAAGTGCCGCGTAATCCCCTGCAAATGGGCTGTCTACAATGTCTTATTGCTGTATCGGAGAGGGAATTATTTCTTTTTAAAGGCAGCCACATGAATTCACTCTATAATTGGCACAGGGCTGACATCACTGGCTGCCAATCAGAAATCCGCTTTGTCTAGGATTTTAACACCTTAATTTCAAGTCGGGGTCATCTGAACAAACGGATTTTGTTAAAATGATGTTCTATCCTCTTTGTGCTCTGAGTCCCATCTGCCCATTTCATGCTGTGTGTGCCCACGTTGTGGATTGCTCTGCAGTAGCTTTTGTGTCATCATCAGGCACCAAACAGTGACTGCAAAGTCTTTGCAGAGTTGGTGACATGGGAGCCATGGCCTGGGTTATGGTGCCTGGGACATTATTTAGGCTCAGAAACCCCCGGGATCGAGGGGAGGACAGACAGCCAGATGAGCACCTGGGGAGGCAGCCTGGGATCTCAAAATAATTGCCTAGCCATCAAACTCTTCCAGCCCATGCTGTCTTTTCCTTTTTATTGGCAAACATAACACCAAAATAATAAAATCATCTGGATTTACTGTTGGTGAAATGAGCACACCTAGGTCAGAGCTTTACCAGCCTGAGCAGACGAGGAGCAGGATGTTTATCCCAATATTGAGGGGACCAGAGGCAGTTGCTGCCCTTTTTGGGAGGGAGGGAGGGGGATCCCAGATGGGAAGATTTCCCCTTTATTTCTCCCCACTTTAAGCTCCAGCAGAAGCAAAGATAAAGGCATACCCCACAGGAATTTCTCTGCAGCCCCTTGTGCTGGTTTTGCTGTCCTCCAGCCAACAGCTGCTCCTTTAGCAGAGGAGAGGAAATCCTGTGGTCCACCCCAGAGAATGCTTTTCCTTTGGGAAAATGGGAATAGATGCCAGAGGTCACGACTTCTCTGTCTTGGTCTGTCAGTGGGTGGGACAAGGGCATCTCTGGGGGAGGCTGTGAAATCCACAGCCGAGGAAATGCTGTGAAAGTTGCTGCTCAGCTGCCCTGGAATTTAGGGACAAAGCGAGAGGAATCCTCACCCTGTCAGAGGGCAAAAATTTGACAAATAGTTTTAAAGGCTTAAAATAAATCTATCTTCATAACCTGACTGCTGTGCTTTTTTCCTTAGGTGTGTTATAGAGGTAATGATACTTCTACAGTGAACTCAATTAACCTTCTGCAGCTTTCCGTGTGACAGGGAATCCTAAATCTTCTGTTTTATGAGTGCATGTGCAAAATTTGAAGCTACTCTGAACTTAGCATTAATAAATGCCCTTTTCTAATTGGTGCCCATTTGTTTGTTTTCTTTTGCAGTGAGAAAGACATGGTGGCTGTGAGTGGAATGTAGTGTTCATGGTTGGAAAGAGATTTCCACACAGGACAGAGGTATTATTATTGTTATTATTATTATTATTTTTTTTTTTTTTAAGAATCTGCTTCTTGTGTGTGGATGCCTTTGGAGTTTCCATTGTTCAGTGATGTTATAAGGTGATCTTCAGGACTATTTTTGGTTCTCTGCATTGTTTTGCATAAACGGACATCCGTTGACAATAAGAATGATTTGATTCTCCTCTGTCTGATACACAATGCATTATATAGTGTCCTTTAGAAGTGCTGTGGAAAAAAAGGATGGGGTACAAAACCTGTTTATTTAGGGTGAAAAATCTGTGTATTTAGGCTTCCACAGCTCAGTTTCCCTACAAAACTCCCTTCTGATAGGTGCACACTGCATCAGGACACTCAGTAGTGTTTGCTCCTGCTTGGCTCCAGAGATCTTTGCATGAACACATTCTGTGGAGAGCAAAATGTTTCATCTGGGAGGGAGGATGTCAGCGATAAATGAGAAAAACAAGAGAAATGGATGATGGCCCATAATGCAAACCCCATAATATAATCATTGTTGTTTGATAAAAGAGACACTTGGAGCAACTCTCCGTGCCTTGCTAGGTATGTCTGGATTTATTATTCAAAAAGACACAATCAAATCTCTTCATTCCGTTGACAAATGGGAGCTATTCAATTCCGTATCTGCCTCTTATTTATAGCATATAGAGGGGTGATTTATATGCTGGCTGCAGATCTTCCAAAACAGTTTTAATTAGCAGCATTGGCTATTGGAATGAGAGTCCTGTAACTTCTGTGTCATACACATCCCCTTAAAATTGAAGGGAAATCTTACTCTTTGCCAGGCAACGTTTCTCTTATTTTTTTGGTGATGCCAGCAAGAAAATGCATGTGTGCTTTAGGTTGAGTTGCTGCTTGCAGCTCTGAGGGGCAGGCAGGGGAGGGTGAGGAAGAAATTGCCATTTATTGGCGAGCCTTGGGAGGACAGGGCTGTCCTTGGGGCGTTGGCAGCACCAGCACCTTGGTGTTTGAGGCCAAAGTAAGCACCAAACACACCAGGGCCAGCTTGGGCTGGGAGCACTGCCATTCTGGGATTCTGCTGTGCATTTCTGTGCTTGGAGGAGGATGGATCTGAGCTCCCACCTCGCCGTGTCCCGTGGTTGGGCGCTGAGCCCTCTCGGCGCTGTCGCGGCGGTGCGCGCACCGATGTCTGTGCTGGGAGCGTTGTCTGGAGATGCAAGAAGCATTCCAGCATTCCCCCTGCTTCTCAGAGCTGCTCTGCCTCGTGGGCTAATTGGTACCCCTGAGGTTCAGAGCAGAGGCAGGCACGGCGCGGGGGGCAGCCCGGCAAAGGCGCCGCTTTGAGTCTCTATTATTTCCACGCATCTGATAGGAATGTGATCCCTTTGAGACCTCAGCCTATCTGTCAAAGCTGAGATCAGCCAACAGGTTCAAAAGTTATTTGGGGAAGCAATGAGTGACAGAACAATTGCACAGCTCTTGTTTTTTTCCTGAGAAACCAGGCTAGAAAAGCGCAGGAAACATAAAGAGTATTTTTTGTGCTTTATGCAGTGTGTGTAGCATGCAGAATGCTCTGTTGTTATGCTTCCACTGATCTTTTTTTGACATAAGCAATGCAGTCATTCTGTCTTTGCATCAAATAAGTCTTTGTACTGCTTGTCACCAGCTCACAGTGTCTCTGTCTGTGTGTAAACTTGGTGTTTGCTACATCCCCCTGTCACAACTGTGCTGCTGCCTGCAGCTGGGTGGTTCTGCTCCAGCTCTGGGTGCTTTACAGCACTGCTCCGTTGGTGATATTTACTCAGGAGAATAAGAAAACCTTAGGAAATCTGAAGTTTGAGGTTGAAAATAGCATGAAAAGAGAGGACATGAGCACTGGACCTGGTCACAGAAGTTTGGTGTCTTTACCTCCTCCCTTGGAGGAGGTCAAGGAAAGAAGGCACAACTGAGAGAGAAGATTGGATGAAGTTCATCCCTGCTCTGCCAACACTGTATGTTTGTGGTGCTTGGGAGACTGATGGGAAAATGAGGAATTAGGAAATGAGGACACAGAAAAAAATCCTGCTACAAGCAAGCCTGAAATTAAAGTGGTCAGAAAGAAGGAATGGAAATGATTCCTGCAGTTTGCAATGGGGAGATGATTGGCTCTGCAGCTTGGACAGCGAGGCATCCACGGGTAACTCACAAATTTGGAGAAAAAACTTGCAGTTCTTGGGCTGAATACAAGTTAGATTTTTTTTTTTTAACTAGAGAAATGGTGTGTAGGTATTTTATTTCATTTTCTGGGCATATTGATAAAGCACGCTGGTTAAGGAAGCTTTCAAATTATTAACATGTTCAGCCTTGTCTTGGAGCCAAGTGAGCAGTATTTGGTGAGCTGTCTTTGGGCATTACACTAAGTGCTTTTCTACTGCAATTCTAATAGAGTGTAGGGCTGAATTTGATAGTGTTACCTATTAGTGATTAGAGAGTGAAGGGCTTTCAGTGTGTCTGTACTGCAGAGTTTGCTTTGATTGATAAATTGGGCATTATGCATTTCATAATTTTTTAATTCTGCCTTGAAGTAATGAGATTCCTTCTTCAAATTCCTCTTTGCATTAACATTTTGAAAATATTTTGGAGGTATGAATGGGGAAGGAAAAGAAAGAGGAGAGAACAGTTTTAATCACAAACACTTAAATTGCGCATTATTCAGTGGCACAGGCTAAACTCTGCTGGAGAAAGATACTTCTAAATTACCCAAATATTAACACTGTAATTATTGAGCATGGATAACAATTATGAATTATGGATCAGTCAGGGAAGCAAAGTCATGGTTGCCTTATAGAGAAAGGTATGATGGGAATGTGCAGGAAGATGATTGAGGATTCCCTCTTCACATTTCACAGGGTCTTTCATAGGGAAAGTGCAACCCCAAAACACTCAGGGAGTATCCCACTACCCAGTGACTCCAGCAGGAGCTCCAGCAGTGCTCACTGTTAGGATATATATATTTATTTCTCTGAATCTGGGGTTGCTCTGGCAAGAGCTCCTGCCCTATTGCTCTCCAGCTCTTGAGATTAACCCACAGATGCTCTTTTATCAGTTTTCCAGTTTATACCTACCCAGCTTCTTGCCTTTTCTTCTGCCACATCTATTTTCTCCAGACAAACCCAGTTCTGTTTTACTTCGGGTTTTGTTTTTTTTTTCCTTAGAGGAGGGCTGTAATATATTTGAAGTGTCTGCCATTAACTTTTGAGATTCAGTGACCTTTTTTAATCAGGAAGGAGGTTTTTTTCAGTTCTACGGGAAGAATTAATCATATGTAAACTGTTTGCTTTAAAAAGTCTCTTACCAAATGTGGGATTTCCCAGGTAGCTTTCAAAAGGTCAGAGGCTGGAGGCAGAAGCTGAGAGCAGCTGGAGAGCACTGCAGGAGGACAAACCCCCTCTGAGCAGGTTCAGAATCAGGGAGAGACCTGTGGTAACACAGGGCACTGGGGAGAACCCATTGTGTTTGAGAGGCTGGACCCAGGCCAGAAATTTGGAGTACACAGAGTGGCACTGTGCTGTTGTACCATGCTGACATTTGCCTGCAGTATTCTCCTGTTTCAAAAGCAAGTTTTTGTGCTTTCGACAAAATGTTCCTTGGCCCTACAAGATTGAAACAAATTTGGGTGAAGGAAACCATGAGAATTTTGGCTAAGTTTCCAGTCAGCTGCTGGTACAGTCCCTTCTCCCAGGTGTGCAGGGAGCTGGGGTCTCTAAAGGAGAAGTTTCCCTTGTGGACCCAGTTTCTGCCAGCTCTTGGTGTGGTGCCAGCTCCTGGTCCGTGGTGGCAAGTGGCTCCAGAGCTGCCCCTGCAGACTCCCAAAAAGCAGAGAGGTTTTTGCCCACAGCAGGGCTTTCTGTCCTGGGTAAACACATTTCATAAAGATCATTTTGGGGGATTTCACAGTGTAACAGTTCCCTTTTTCCTCCAGCCTCTGCAGCAGTGAATGTGGGACCTTCTAGCTCCAGGTTAGAGCCACAGAGGGAGAAGAGTTGATGGAGAAAAGTGCAGCTGTCAAAAGAGAGGGACAGTCAGTGTCATCAAAGGCTGCAGTGTGTTGGGGTACAGGGTCCTTGCAAAGGAAGATTCCTTCTCTGAATTTTAGACAACTCTGCCAAATTCTTTAATGTGTTTTTTATGTGTTTTGCTGTACTTAGTAGTGGTTTTTACCTGCTGTGTCTCAGTGAAGCTGATTTTGGAAGATGTCTCACAAATTAGGTACAGTGCAGCGAGTGTTTGGTTTCCTACATGCAGCTCTGTTGTTCACTCCCCTCAGCTCCTGCAGATGATGCAGTGGAGCCTGTTCTGAACTTGCTTTCAAGGTTTTATCAAGCCTTGGTGAATAATAATTGCATTTGTTGTTGAGGGGAGTCCATCTGGAGGGTTTCACTCACAGAAGCACATCTTGTGACAGAAAGGGGAGTTTTCCAGTCTCAGGGGAAGCACACAGGTGAAGGGAGGGAGATGCCACCCCACCAGCCACCCATTTGCAGTGTGTGCTGTTCCCCAGGGATGGATTCAGGCCTGATCCCAGCCACTCTTCAGAGGGACTCACTCCAGGGTGGCTCAGAGCCCAGGGGCTTCTCCAGCTCATCCTGCAGCAGTGAAGTGTGGGCATTGCTCTTTCTCCCAATGATTAAAGGACACAGCTTTCTGTTCAAAGAGTTCATTCCCCAAAACCATTAATGGAAAAGTTATGTGCTAGAAACATTTCCACCCGATCCAGAACACACAGGAAGTCTGAATATGAATGATTTAAAGACTATGGGAAAGCATAAAGATGTTAAGGTGAATTTACTACTTTGTTCAGCACATAGATTGTGTGAAGGGCCTGGAGTATGAATTAAAGAAAGGTTCCAGCCATGAGATATTACAGTTTAATTCAGACATTAGTACAGCCAGGGAGAAGACAGTAATGTATTGCACATCTAAATAGGATTTCCATACTGGATTGCACCTGTGATCTATATGGGCAGTGCAGCCTCTGTCAGGAGGAATAATGTGATGGGGATAATAGGCAGCAGTGGAAGGATTTACCTGGAGCAAGCTCTGCTGCTAATAGCTGGCTCATATCCCAACTAACCATGAGAGCTCATTGGTATCATGTCCTGTTGGATGTGAGGGAGGATGTTCTCCTGACCTTCAGCAGCCTCAAGGTGTTAATGAATCACTCACATCTGCCCTTTGTTCATGTCAGCCAGCACCACCTTCTGTGGGACAATGTGTTTAAAAACAAAAGGATTTTTTTTTAAAGGCAGTTTGAAATATTGTGTTGTCAGTCATCTGCTACCACACTTCAGTACTGAGGAGGTGGGACATTACAGAGCCCATGTTCTCTTCATTAAATTACTCATTATTGAAATTGACCAATGCCCCATCAATTTTTATTCATCCCTTCTCCAAATTTTAGATGGTACCACTTTTCCTTGCTTCTAAAAATATTTGTAGATGGTACTTAAGCCTTTTAACTGTTTTTTTTTCCTTTTTCCTTTTTCCTTTTTGAGGTCAGGTGTGCCAGTTTCAGTCAAGGCAAGATAAACTTTTAAAGTGTCATTCTTGTTTTAGTTTCTCTAGATCTTTGCTTTTGACCACTTCTGTTTGCACACCTGTGACTTTCCTGGAGCTTTTATTTCTCATAGAAAACCTGGAGGAAATAGAGGTGGCTGAGGGACAGCACTGTGCCTGTGCCATGCGTGTGCTACAAGAGTCGCCTCAGCCCTCTGGAGGCTTTCTTCCTCCTGATTTTTAAAATTTTTTTTCCCCCTGGTTTAAGCATTTCCAGCAATGGCTCTGAAGTAATCCCAGAGCTCTGTCTCTTCCCATTTTTTGGCTGAGGAGGCTTTGCAGTGTGTGTTGCAGGGGCAATCGACCCAGGGTCTGTTGCACACGAGCAGCTCCGCCAGGTGTTTGCTGCTCTCTCTACAAACAGCGAGAGCAGATGGGCCAGGGAAGCACCTTGCTCTCGGTGGGTCTGGAGAATGAGCTCATTATCCAGCCAGTGGCCTGTCACAGCAGCCTCATTTACCAGTGGCTGGTGTAGAAAACAAACCCTGGAGAGCTGAGCCTGGCGGGGCGGGAGCGCGGCCGCGCCAACCGCGGCGGTGCTGCTCGGCGAGTTGGGTTTGAGGGATAGGGAGGGCACCTGGAAAGGCAGAGAGTTACAAATAGGCATCAAAAAGCCTCATAAAAATGACAGGAAGTGCTGCTTTTGGGAGTTAAAAAATGGCACGTGGAGAGGGGGCACATTTCAAGGCTGATTCTGAAAGTCCCTTTCCCTCCTGTGCTCAGGTGGGGCTGGTCTCTTTCTCCAGACAGAACCAGAGCACACAGCCTCAAGCTGCATCAAGAGAAATAGAGGTTGGATATTAGGAAAAAGTTTTTCACAGAAAGGTGATAAAGTTCTGGAATGGCCTGCCTGGGGAGTGATGGAGTCACCATCCCTGGATGTGTTTAAAACCAGACTGGATGTGGCACTGGGTTCCGGGGCTCAGTTGTGTTAGGGCATGGGTTGGACTCAATGATCTTGAAGGTCTCTTCCAACCCAGTCACTCTCTGAATTCTGTGAATTCCTTAGGTGGTACCTCCACCAAGTATTCCTTAAAAAGTCCAGAAAGTATTAACAAAACATGCTTAAAGAGTGTGATGTTCAAATATAAAAAAGGACCCAAACCTCCCAGGTTATGTTAGACCAGAGAGGCAACTGAACAGCTTTCCATCTGTCTCCTCTTGAATGCCACCTGGGAAACACCTCTGACTGTGCTCACAAGGTTGAGGATTGCAGGAGTCCTTTGCTTGCTGATAAAGATACAAAAAAAATTTGGCACTAGTTTCTCAGAGGAATGTAAAAAATGTCACAGCTGGCAGCAGTCTTGGAAAGAGAAAGTGCAGGAGTGGGAAACTTCAGTTTATTTGTAGCAAAATCCATGAGGAGCGTGGGGGAAATTGTTGTCACTGGGTTACTCTGTGGATCTGTGAGTGTGTGATTGATAGTGTCTTAAGAGTATTAAGCTCCCTGCTTCAATATTATTGTTGGGAAATCTGGCTGCTTGTATAATCCCAACATTTATAATCCCAAATTTTATATAGGCAGAGCAAATAGTATGAACCACTGCAGTGAGGAGTGGGGTCCTGTGTGGAGTGGGAATG